CCAGAATTCCCCAGCCAGCATGGCTGGCTGGGGAATTCTGGGAATTGAAGTCCACGTATCTTAAAGTTGCCAAGGCTGAGAAACACTGGTCTAACTAAAGCACCAAGGTACTGCAGATGGTGCTGGTTTCAAAATCTTTAATTCATTGTGGATTTCCTAGACAGCAGACCTTTAGAGATTGACAGAAATTTTTTTTTAAAGGTTAGAAAACTACACACTGAGACTTCAAAATTCAGGATACCTTTTTTTTTTCTATATGAATCCACTGCAAGAATATTTTTAAAAGGAGTAATTTAAATACAGGAAACAGAATAGTCTCAGATTATCTGTCATGATTACCAGTTCAACAGGAGACATAAATTAAGCCCATAATTAGATCAGAATAATGTATGAGAGGAGAAGTTATAGAGGAACCGTTTCAATGATCTGAAAAGGAGGGCTCAAAAGATTAGCTTATTTGCATGGTACAGACCAGGTAAACTGTAAACTTTTTAATGTAAAAAGGTATAACTGGTTTGATTAGGTCAATGCTGCGTTATCTACCCTGCCTTGTAAATTTTGACACTATTTTATCCTCTTGTAATCCCTAACACACTTGTGTTTTAGAAAAATGACATTAACACTTTTTGCCTTAGACAAAATCATTTAAAAATAAGGATATCCCAGGGAACATTCATAGTGTCCTTCAAAAAATTTAAATGTGTCTGGTAACTGGAAAGCATGCATATCTGGGTATGTGTGTGTGTGAAAACCTGTAAGATGCAGGCATGACATCACAATCTAAGCCCCACCCCTTTTATCGGCGCATCATATGCACAAAAGGGGCAGGGCTTTGCTCACAGTGCTGCACCTGCCAAATTGCAAGTTTTGATCTTGCCACCAGTGGCTGTGGCCGCTGCTGGAAACAACCGGATTTTCTAAAATTGAACCTCATTAGGTTATAGTTGAGCACTGAACAAGAGTTCACATGAGTTTCCATTTAGCAAGTTGACGTACCGTAGCTAGGACATGATCAACCTTCCATATCAGTCCAGCAGGCAATTTAGTTGGCACCTTCACGTACACCAATACTTCTGGTGGTGGGAATGCCCCCATGGGCCAATTTGTTACCTGGAAGTGAAGGAAGGTGAAGAAAGTCAATGATTAAGATGCCACAAAATTGTCCTCGAGGAAAAGCAGGTAGGTAGATAACACAAAAGTGGGCAGTGGCAATAAAAAAGAAAGGTAACTTTGTATATCCAAATCAGTCTGTTGGAGTCTTGTAACTCAAGTTTCTTTCCTCTGTTAGCACAGTGTTTCTCAACGTTGGCAAGTTTAAGATGTGTGGACTTCAACTCCCAGAATTCCCCAGCCAGTAATGCAAGAAGGCCCCATCCAGATTAGGACCAGGGTGTAGGAGAAGAAGACTTCAATCTTGTCACCCTTCCACAGTCCTAATCTGGTTTAGCCACTCTCCCCACTTCCCCATGCCAGCATTTTAGTTTTTTTGAACAAGCCAACCAGGCAGAGCCAGTTCATCACACAAAAGCTTCACCTCTGGTTTAGCCCCCAAGTTGGGATTAAACCTGCCTGCCACTAAGAAAAGTGTTGTGTCCCCATGCAAGGTCTCCTCAGCATTTTAGAGTAGAAAAAGACTCAAGAAAAAGATGGTTTTCTTAGAGCCCTTTCTATTGTCCAACAAATGCTATCCTTTGTTATGCTTGGTTGTTCTGTTTTTAATTATTTTAAATTGTATTTTGGATGTTATAAAGTCTTTTGGAGTGGGGCAATAATAATAATAATAATAATAATAATAATAATAATAATAAATAAAATAAATTTAAAATAATAATAAAAAT